CCCCTACCCCCCTCTCCCTAACCCACCACCTCCCTCCCCTCCCCCCTCAGAGCGCATCTACTGTCCAGCCCCCTCCCACTTTCGCTGTCGGAATGACCGGTGCCTGCCCCGGGCAGCTGTGTGTGACGGTGTCAACGACTGCAGGGACGCCTGGGGAGGCACGGATGAGCTCTTCTGCCGTGAGTGACCACTGCCTTTTTATTCGTTCTTCTTTCTTTCTTATTTTTTCTTTCTTTCTTTCCTTTTGTTTCTTTCTTTGTTTCTTTCTTTTTTTCCCTCTTCTATCTTTCTTTCTTTCCTTTTTATCTTTCTTTTCTTCTTTCTTTCTTTCTGTCTTTCTTTTCTTTTTTTTTTCTTTTTTCTTTCTTTTGTCTTTCTTTCTTTTGTCTTTCTTTCTTTTTGTCTTTCTTTATTTCTTTCTAGGCATTGTCCATTCACTGCATGGTGTAGCCTTCTGTCATTAGAGATGGAGTCGAGTTTTTTTTGGGTTTATTTAGGGGTTTTTTCTTTCTTTCTTCTTCTCTTGCTTACTTTGTTTCTCTTTTATCTACATTTTTCTTTCTAGGCATGGTAGTGTTCTGTTGTGAGTGGTTCCTGCTTTAGTTTAGTTTTATTTTGTTTTTTCTTTCTTTCTTTCTTTCTTTTTTTTCTTTCTCTCTTTCTTTCTATCTTTCTTTCTAGGTGTTGTCCTTTCACTGTTGGATGTAGCCTTCTGCCCTGACTGTTTGCTGCTTTTAGTTTAGTTTTTTTTATCTTTCTTTGTCTTTTCCTTCTTTCTTTCTTTCTTTCTGTTTTTCTTTCTAGGCCTTGTCGGTCCACTTTCTTTTATCAGCTGTTTTCTGTCAGGTTGTACCCGTCAGTTCTCTGATGTCATCTTGCCACCTTCTTTCTGGTCTTCCTCTTGATTTCTTTCCTGTTCTTGCTTGGTCTCTATTCCGACCATCTTTTTGTCTACCTGTTCCCTTTCACTCTCCCGATGTCGCAAACCCATTTCCATATTTTGTCGGAGTCTAAATGCAGAGTTTATATTTGTCACTCCTATTTTCTTTTGCAAGTTTTGTATCGTTTATTTGATCTTACCCTTCATTTTTCTTTTCATTTCTTTATTGTATTTCTGGATATTGACTAGGTTTCGTTTCAGTAAGAGTTTTACGGCACTTGCAACACAAATAAGGCATAGAAGAGTCGGAGGTTATAAGTGTCATTAACAGACAGAAAAAAGGGAGAGTGATTAAGACGCCAGATGTTGGATGTAAAGGAAGCAGCACACAACACCAGAATACCCGCCAACCACCCACTATTTGCCTATGTTGGTTTCTATGTGCTCCATAAACACAATCTAGATCCTTTAGGGGGCAGGACTAGGAAAGGACGGAGGCGACCGTCTGTCTAGAGTAAAGTGCCACATCGTTCTCAAAAAGGTGATATGGATATAGGTCTTCTGAGGTACTTATCTGATGTAGACAGCTGAGCGGGAATTTGAGCTATACAAATGTTGCGAGTGTTTTTAG